TAATAATAATAATAATAATAATGATAATAATAATAATGGGCAAGTGTATTTGTACTCTTTATAAACTAAAATTATAAATATAGTTTGGCACATCATTAATTCATTTATACCCAAAAACTTTTCTCATCATTATCATTTCATTAAAAACTAATTAGCGGCTCTAGATCTCTTTGCTTCAACTTCATTCTATTTATTTGTTTTAGAATTTTTTTTTACTAACCGTGCAATTCTAATTTTACTCGAAATTTAGTTTGGAAAATCTATATAAAACTATATACTCCCTCTGTCCCAATTTATATGACTCACTTTCCTTTTTAGTCAGACCCCAAAAAAATGATACATTTCTATATAAAGTAACAATCTAACTATAAAATATCTATTTTACCCTTAATGAAATGATTTGCAGCCACACAAATTTCTATCATTCATTTTGGACCACAAGTTTTAAAAGTCTTCCTTTCTTTCTTAAACTCCGTGCCGAGTCAAAGTACCTCATATAAAATGGGACGGAGGGAGTAGTTGGGAAATGAAAATGGTGATTTCACACCTCCAAAGCTCAGCATCTATATATGTTTTATTTCTTTTTTCCAGATTTTTTAACTTTCATCCGTATTTCAATAAAATCTCAAATTTTCGAAATGATTTTCCTAATCAAAATGATTACAGTATGATTTATGAGCCTTAATTAAGGGAAGCGGAGGAGATTTTGAAATTGAATTACATCTTTCACTATATACAATAATTATATCTTAAATAAGGAGAGGAAGAGATTCAATTTAATTGGATAGAGTAAACAACTTAGTGACTCAAAGAAGAAAAGATATAGAATAAAGCTGGTAAGGGAGCTTAGCATTGAATAAATAAAAAATGTATTCCCGAGAGGAGTTAATTTTCGAACTTCTTAATTTTCAAACAATTTGAAATAATCAGTTTTATATAAAATAAATAAATAAGTAAATAAATAATATATATATATAAATCTAGCGCATCTTTGAGTTCTACTAATTTGCTATTTATTTTTGTCCTTTCCAACTCTCTATTTGACCACTCAACTTTTAATCTAATTATATATAGTGGTCTCTGAGTTCATTCCAATTATATTGTGATAGTTTTTAAGTCTTTTTCCATCTTCAGATAATTTTGTATCACATGTTGAAATTAAATTAGAGTAATTATCAACGATGATGATGATATTATAGTTCTCTTTCTATTTAATTCCACGAGTTGATGGAGATATTTGGTAAGTTTTTATCTAATAGATTCATTATTACTTTATAGTTCGTCTACAATTTTCACTTGAAAGTTATTTTTGTTGCTGCAATGATAATAGTGTGTTACAAGCATTTTTCTATTCTCTGTTATTTTTCTATAGAGTAGAAAATCTCAACGACAACTACAACGCTCAGGTTATTTTCCCCCATATTTTCTGCTAATTCCCTACCATTTTGAAACTTATACTTGTGAGATTACGAATAATGTAATGGTTAAATACTGTTTTCCTTTATAGTAGATTGCTTTACTACTCTAATATAACGTGAATTGCTTTATTTCTACTTTATTATTAATATTTAATAATAGTTGGCTTAATATTATATTTACCATGTTACTTCGTGGTCTAAGGATGTTTGTGCATGTCTCTTATAACTTTTATGATTTTGAATATCACAATAATTCTCTTTCTTTTTAAATTTAAAAACATGTAATCTTTTTTTGCTTTCGTAATAGACCCGAATAGAATTGTTCAAGAAAAACTACACGAAATCAAATGAAAGAGAGAACTCAAACATGTAATTTGGTTATACTTCTCCTCTTATCCTATATTATGGGTTTTAGTAGGAATAACTACTAAAAGATGTCATTTTACTAATTATAATCCTTAGGCAGTGAGACCGGTAGCACATAATGATTGGGGCAGCAACAAGAATGATACAACTTAACATGGCTCAAACGTGCAGCGCATGTGTCCATGACTAGTATTATTATAAGTGGAAAGCTCCAAAGTGTAAAGTTAGATTACCATTTTACCCCTACACTAAATAAAAAAAATATACATCATCTCATTAATTATTAATTAGATATTAAACTTTAATTACCTCTAAGCTTGCTGAATATCATAAAAAACTGGAAAAATATGAAAAGTCACATTACATTATTTATCATAGTCAACCATTAACATTGTTTTAAGACCTTTCCAAACTATATCGTTGTTTTAAGAAGTCCAAAAAAAATGTTTAAATACATTATCCAATTAAATGTGAAATTAAAGACATTAAAGAAAATGGAAGATAAAAAGATTGTGTATCAGTTTTCAAAACCCTATTTTGAATAAATTAATTTCTTAGAACTCTTGTCTCTTCATTTGCCTATATTGAATGAAGATGATTTTTTTCAAATTTATAAATACAGATATTGAATAATATCAAACAAGCGTATGATGAAAGGTTAGTTATACAATTGCTAATTGCCAGATCCTTACTTTTATTTTGATCTCTTTGTATTATTTAATTTTAGATTTCATGATTTATATGTATATCACATTTAATTGTATTTATGTTTGTCATTTTTTCTTTCTCAGCTTGGTGGCATCAAGATTACAAGCAGCTATACTATATGATGATAACTTCCCTATTTTGTTGTTTTCTCTGTGGTAATTTCTTAACAGAATTATCATTTTTGTAAAGCATCGATATTTTGGACTTTCAAATCATTTTGGAACAAAAGTTATAGTGCTTCAAGATACTTCAATTCATTTTTTAAATGAATTTGAAGTTATATTTTTCTAAGTGACAGGATAGTTTCTACATCTACAAATTAGGTATACAATTCTTTTTTATAATTTTTTTTTTTTTAGTTCTCATATGTTTGTTTAGTGTTGAAGTGCTGGTATTATATTTCACCTCTTCTGCATCAACTAAATTGAGAAACTTGTTGATGCATTTTTACAATCTCATATTTAGTAATGTCCAAATTCTTGCTTTATAAAATTGTATTATTTAGGATTTGTATATATTATACTTTATGTGTTACACACTATAATTGCATATAATTATACATTTAATTGTTTATGCAGGTAGGTTATGAGAAAAAACAACGTATGAAATTCTAATCATTTAAAGTTCACACATTAACTTTTGAGGTGAAGGCAGTGGATGGTGTTTAGTGATGCAAATGATGTTTTCTTTCTTGCTTTTATGTAAATATATTTCTTTATTTTATTGTTTGAGTTAACTTTGGATATATTTGAGAATAGTATGTATATAAAATACATTACAACTTTTTCTTTCTTCTGTAAACAGGAATAAGGCTTTGCCTTTTGTTTGATTTTTTATGTCCCACGTTTCTATCGTAATGAAGGTTGTTGTGGGGAGATCTTTGTGTCACAGAAGATTGCTTTCAATGATCGCAAAATCATATAAAAAATATTGCAATACTATAATTTCTCTTCTGGAAGTCATAAAAGAAAGAATAGGTATACGTTGGTTTGATAAACCAAAAAAATATAACCCCGGCTTGCTTTTGTCACTCAAGCAATAACAGTTTTTCAGTTTGATTTTTTCTTTAAATTTGTTGTCATTTCTTATTCTTCATTCTACCTATCCTCTAATTTTAAAATAAAATACACTCTTTATGTCCCCAAATGAAGTATTGAAGTTGAAAATATGATGGTCGACATTTTTAAATATTGAGTAAGAAATACTTTTACTTTCACAATACATATATATCCATTTGGAGGCTTATGTCAAATGATTTTATTCACGCTAAATATAAGTGAGATTAAAAATTCTGTATAATGTTACTATACCTTAATTGATAATTTTACTTGTTGTTACACAAAACAGACTTTACAGAAAGAAACAAAGTCAAATTATAACTTCAACAATTAGTTTTAAACTATAATTGTTGTCTTGCCCATTCATTTCAAGTTCAACTACGATATCGCTTTAACATATATAAATATTAATTATGTATTTTTTTTCTCTTCTAATTCAATATTGAATCCCATACACATGTTTTAATAATATTTATGTTTTGAAAGTATGTATTAACTGATAGGAATACACGTGCGACGCACGTGTCCAAAACTAGTATATATATATATATATGAGAGTCGTGTTTTGTATGATGAACTATGGAAATGAGATCCATTTGAAATTAATTCAAAGGTTTCTATACAGTTTGTATCTGCAATTCAAGTGTGCCTGAATTACCAACAAAGTTCAGTAGGTCTATTCCAGAATGCACATCAGACATGAGCTTCCTGTTTGTAAGATAAAAACTAGTTCAAAATTTATCCTTTAAATTCAAAATACTGTAAAGGTGCATTTATTATAATTATAAAAACTGCTAAAAGAAGTTTCTTGGCAATATTCTTATACATGCATCCTAACTATCTGCACATTAATCAACTTTAAGTGTATATCTCTTCATTGCTAAACAGTTATTCCCTTTGTCCCTTTTTACTTTTCCAATTTACTTATCTCTTTTTACTTACCATTTTTGACAAATCAAGAAAAGATAATATTTTTTTACCTATTATACGTTCAATATTGAGTTTTTCTTCTTCAGCAAAGAAGATGAACGGTATCTGATTAAATATTTGAGGCCATGATTGTCAAAGACTTCAAATTTTGCTGGCAATGAATCCAAAGAAAGAAAGCATTTTTTTGCTGAAAATTGAATGATGAACGAAATGCCAAACAAACTCTGCTTTCCACGTTTCTTATAATACCAACAAAGTGCTTTTTCCGTTTCAATTCAGGGGTGACTCTGCTTCGTTTTCATCGTACTGCTCTTTTTATATTCATCTGATCCTTTCAACAAAAAAAAGGAAAAAAACTTTTAGCTGTGCAAAAGCATGTCTCTCAAATTCTTCAAACCCCTTTTTGATTCTTCCCCATGGCTCCTTCAACAACTCAATGTTGAGCAAAAGGCTGTATTTTTCTCCTTTTTTCTTATTTTTTTAGCCTTACTTTGGGGTTTCATCAGTAACTCAAACAAGGGATTGCCACCAGGGCCTAAAGCTTTGCCCTTGATAGGTAATCTCCATTCTCTTGAACCTGAACTTCATACCTATTTTGCATCTCTTTCACAAACTTATGGCCCCATTTGTAGACTCTGGTTTGGTAAAAAAGTTGGGATTATTATTACTTCACCAGCCTTAGCTCGCGAGGTTCTTAAGGATAAAGATACCATTTTTGCTAACAGAGATGTGACTGCTGCTGGAAGAGAATTTTCATATGGTGTCAATGACATACTTTGGACTCCTTATGGACCGAAATGGCGAATGTTGAGGAAGGTTTGTGTTCGCGAGATGCTTAGTTCTTCTACTTTAGATTCTGTTTATGCACTAAGGCGAAGGGAGCTTAGACAATCGATCAATTACTTTTATAACCAGGCAGGATCGCCTGTGAATGTTGGTGAACAGATGTTCTTGACTGTGCTTAATGTGATTACAAGCATGTTATGGGGTGGCACAGTGAAGGGTGAGGAAAGAGCTAGCCTTGGAGCTGAATTTAGGCATGTTGTGACTGAGATAGCTGCACTGTGCAGTATTCCCAATCTTTCCGATTTTTACCCGGGCTTGGCCTGGTTTGATTTCCAGGGTATTACAAAGAAGATGAAGGTGTTGGCAAAGAGATTTGATGAGATATTTGAGAGCATAATTGATCAAAAACAAAAATTGGACAGAAATGGTGTTGGCCAAGAAAGCAAAGACTTTTTGCAAGTTTTGCTGAAGTTGAAAGATGAAGCAGATGTCAAAATACCTCTAACCATGACTGAAATCAAAGCCTTACTTATGGTATGTTTATCAGTTGTGCATTCTACTAAATTTGCTTTTTCCAAAAAGAAATCTTCCTCTCCCCAGTTATCACTGCATTATTATTGAGTAACCAAGATTGCATTTGTCATCAACCATTCATACCTTAATTTTTTTGGATCAATTATTAGCTAACAATGACCATGATGGCAGATTTATTTTTTTTATATTAAAAGGATCAAAAAATCATTGTGGCATATGGGAAATAAATTTCAGAAGAATCAGCTTCGTAAATTCATGTCCTGAGCTGTTGGTTGCGTTCTTCTGGTAGGAAAATTCACTTTTATTACATGTGGTGCTGGTTACAATGTTTGCATTTTATTTTAAATAGTCCATCTCCTTACCTGTTAGGCAGTTAACGGATAGAAAATTGGTTTATAGTAATATTAGTCATAATAAGAGGATCAAATGCTAATAAAAGTTAAAAAGCAGGATCATAAATGTTCTGAACTGTTAATTGCGACCATGTTATTGGACTGACTTAAGGAAAGAGTCGGCAAATTTAGCATCAGATAATATGTGACTTAACTGTGAACCTTAAACTGAACTCCAATATAAGGTTCTACAATTAAAAAATTGTTATACATGATAATAACTTCACAAATACTATGGACAGGATATGGTCGTCGGTGGAACTGGCTCAACCGCCAACACAATTGAGTTTGCCATTTCTGAAATATTGCGCAACCCCGATATCCTGAGGAAATTACAACAAGAACTAGCTACCGTTGTGGGAAAAGATAATATTGTGGAAGAGTCTCATATTCAGGAATTACCATATCTCTATGCAGTGATGAAAGAAGTCTTGCGCATGCATCCAGCTGCTCCACTACTGGTGCCACATTGTCCTAGTGAAACATGCACTGTGGGAGGATACATTGTTCCTAAAGGATCTTGTGTTTTCATAAATGTATGGGCCATACATAGAGATGCTTCTACCTGGAAAAATCCAACAGAGTTCCTTCCAGAGAGATTTTTGCAAAAAAACTGGGATTATGGTGGAAATGATCTCAACTATTTCCCATTTGGTTCTGGCAGAAGAATCTGTGCGGGGATAGACATGGCAGAGAGGATGTTCATGTATTCACTGGCTTCACTCATTCATTCTTTTGATTGGAAATTGCCCGAAGGAGAGACATTAGACCTTACAGAGAAGTTTGGTATTTCTTTGAAAAAGAAAATGCCTCTGGTGGCTATACCTACTCCAAGATTGTCCAATTCAACACTGTATGAGTAAGATAAAAATATATCAATGTTATGTGCTAATGTCTTTCAAAGAATTGTAAGGTAAGGTACTTCATTAGGAATTGTATGGTAAGGCCTAGCCCCCCTTGCTTGTACTTATCCTTATTGATAACTTTTTATTTTTAATAAAAGACCGCTAGACACTCCGTTTAGTGATAAATTTGGAGGGAAAAAAATGTCTTTGATTTAAATGTATGCATCCACTAACAATCAATGGACCAGGTCCCCTGACAAAATAACAGTGTGAAAAAAATAACTCAAAGTAAATCAGATACAAGAATTTTACGTGAAAACCTCCTTGTTCAAGGGAGGAGAAAACTACTACCTGTCTCACAGGATTTCACCACAAACTCCATTCCACTAAAAACGGAGCAACATTCAGATTACAAACTCTTTTAACCTAGGAATTAAAATCTTAATCCCTTCCCCCTCACTATAACAACTCTGTTACAAGGAAAAACTAAGCAATAACTCTATTGTCACTAAACCTACTAACTCTCACTACATGAAATGTGTGAATTACATGGGGATTTTCTTAGGGATTGGTATGAAAATCCGCATGAAACTTAATCTAACATATTGTACATGATAAATTTGATATAATTTATTATATGACTTTCATTGTGCTATGAACTAAAAATGAAAACATACTAAAAGAAAGTTATAGAGTCCTTTTAGTCTATCAATGCTTGCCTTAACATAGGTACACAATTGGTTATAACTAAACTATATCAAGATCTCTTGAAACTTATCAGTATTCTTACAACATAGAGTTCAAATTTTGCTGGCGATGAATCCAAAGAAAGAAACGATTTTTTTGCTGAAAAATGAATGATGAGCAACATGCCAAACAAACTTTGCTCCTTTCCAAGTTTCTTATACTACCAAACAAAGTACTTTCTCTGTTTCAATTAACATCACGAGATTCAGGGTAGGTGACTCTACTTCGTTTTCATCGTACTGCTCTTTTTGTCTTCATATAAATTATCTCAACCTTTCAGCAGAATAAAAAAAATAATCTTTAAGCGGTGCAAATGCTTCAGATGTCTCTCAAATTCTTCAAACAACTTTCTGATTCTTTCTCATGGCTCCTTCAACAACTCAATGTTGAGCAAAAGGGTATATTTTCCTCCAATTTCCTTGGTATATTAGCTGTACTATGGCTTCTTTGGTGTTTCATCAATAACTCAAACAAGGGACTGTCACCAGGGCCTAAAGCTTTACCCTTGATAGGTAATCTCCATTCTCTTTGTTATACCCCATTTTAACCAGGTCAAAATAGTGTACAACATTTTGGTGATTTCTAAAGTTAATTGACTAATTTAAGAAGTCGCCACCTAATTTTTTACGGTGAATTAGGGCACCTAAATTGATTAAAGTCGTTGTCTAAAGTTAACTTCATTTTAAGGTCTACTAAACTTAAGATTCTAGGTAAGGGTTCAACTAATCTAAAGGGAAGGGGTTAGGCATCCTTTAAGATCCATTAAAAATGGTTAACCGGCCGAACTTAAATTTATTAATTAGGCTAAATGTAAGAAAGTAAACATCAAGTTGGAATGCTAAGTGTACAATAATCAATTTTGGAAAATTGTTTCACATGAAATCTAACTTGTGAAAATAAATTTGAAAGTGAAGGTTTTGAAGGCTAACGTGATTCTTGTTTTAAGAAAAGGAGTTGTTTTGCAAGAATAAACCTTTTTCTTTTAAAGCCAAACTAACAGAACTTCAAAGTTGGTGGAAGGAATTACCATATATAAACTTATATAAGAAAAACCTGATTTTAAAATTATGAAGTAAGAAATGTTTTATATACTCCAAAAGGCTATTTTTAATAACTACTTTTATTAGTATTATTAACTAGTAAAAAATAACATTTGTTTTAAGGAAAAAATGCTACTCAAAATCAATACAGAGGGTTCAATCCTAGTCAAATGCACACAAATGCTCACATTCACAAATAAATCAAGTTATTGAACTCTAGTTAAAAATATAAAATAAGTAAGGCATAGAAAACAATTAAGCATCACAGAAGCAAGAAAATGTCCACAGCTTCCCTCCCATTCTTTCATTCTTTGTTCGTATGTATTTGAAAGAGATCGAAAGGCTGGAAGGAAGATAGACATGAGTTTTAGATCTAGCGGCGGGGTATCGAGTCTCAAAGCATGACTCTTGTGACAAGCGAAAGTGTTTATGAACATTCCATTTGTCCACAGCTTCCCTCCCATTCTTTCATTCTTTGTTCGTATGTATTTGAAAGAGATCGAAAGGCTGGAAGGAAGATAGACATGAGTTTTAGATCTAGCGGCGGGTATCGAGTCTCAAAGCATGACTCTTGTGACAAGCGAAAGTGTTTATGAACATTCCATTCATGCTCCCAAAGTGTACATGTAAAAAGAAAAGGAAAATAAAAAAATTAAACAAAGTGATTTAATTCTTAACAAATATTTACAACAAAATAAGCAAACAAAGTTGTAACAACACACTACATTACGCTTTTGATAACATGAAACAAAGCAACTTTGTACCATCCATAACTAAATGTATTTGAAGATGCACCAAATCATTTACTAATTCGAAATTGATTTAAAAAGAGACATCAAACTGTTAACAAAGCAGCCTTTTACTTTCTTACCATACTAAAGAGAGGTTGTTATATCATGAAATGAAAAGATGACTTTAACTAAACTACTGCAAACTTTTCAAGAATCAATATTCAATATAGTCACATTTAAATCAAAAACTTAGCCAAAACAGAGATATTGAACTAATTAACTAGCTTAGATACGATATCTAATCACATACACAATATTAAACAAAACAAATAAATTGACAAGAACAACCCTTTAGCAAACAGATTTCAACGAATACTCAAGAGTTTAGAACTCCCTTTTTATGATTAAACATAAGTATGCACTGCAATAATAGTTTAAATACGCATGATCCATAATAGTATATCTAAAATTAATACTAACTTTCAAACTAAAGCTATTACAGAGAAGCATGAGCTCATGTATTACTTATAAAATTTAAACAAAGAAAATGGACTACTGTAACCTTCACGGTTCCCATACTTCAATAAATTCTAACATGATTTTTAAACAGATTAAGAACTTAAATTAAGAAAATAAAGGAAGAAAAGTTGAGGTTACCGTTTATGGGGCAGTGAACATGGGTCGTCGGCAAGGATCTCCTCTCGTTCCTCCGACAAAGTCGAGCAAATAGAGACTAGAGTAGTAGATGATGATATCAAAATGTAGGAAGTAGTGTTCTTGTGAGTATTCAAGTTTATTGAGTGATTTTTTAAGCCAGCCAGGAAGTCATCCCCCTGAACTCCATAAAAATGAGAAACTTTATAGAACATTTTTGATGTTCAAAGCTTTGTATTTTGGGCGGGATTTTTGGATTTGAATTTTGAATATTGGTCAAATAGAGTTGTTGTGAATCTGTCATCTCTGCCATAAAGAATCAAAATCCAAAAGTTCTTTGGCCTTTTGTGTTGACCAAATTAAGAGGAGAGATGAGAATGAGGGAGGGGAAAGCAACGGTACATATCTTTTAGGAGAAAGAGGTGAAGTTACACCAAAATGGAGTGACCAATCTTTTATGATTTAAACATTGATGGAGTTTTATCTAGAAGTAGAAATGATCGGGAGAAGAGAAGGACAACGTTGATGAATCTGGGTTAAAGAATGGTGTCTAATTAGTTTGAAGTGGGCTGTTGTGTTTGGGCTAGAAATGGGCCAACGTGGGCTAGAATTAATGGGCTGCATTTTGGATAGCCTAATTGGCCGAAATAGCTTAACACTTTGGGCCTTTTTCTTCTTTGAATTAATTCATTTGAGCTTCTAATTTACTAACTAGTATAAAAATATATATAACGTAAAAAGTTCAGTAAGTAAAAAAAATTGAAATAAAGTAACGAAAATCTATTTTAAAGAAGACGACAATAAAGTACTAATAGTAACATTGATAAAAAATATAATTTTGAAATAGTGAAAATGATACTAAAGATGATAATCATAAAAATAATAAAAGTTAAAGTAATATAGATAATTACGATAGCAATAGTGATAAATGGAAAATAATAGTGAATTAGAATCTATTCGACTTATTAGTAATTTAGAAGCTCAACGAAATAAATTAGAAGAAAGGAGGGACAAAATTTGGTGTCAACACTCTTGATCCTGAAATTCATACGTATTTTGCATCTCTTTCCCAAACTTATGGCCCCATTTGTAGACTCTCTGGCTTGGTAAAAAACTTGGGATTATTATTACTTCTCCTGCCTTAGCTCGCGAGGTCCTTAAGGATAAAGATACCATTTCTGCTAACAGAGATGTGTCTGCTGCTGGAAGAGAAATTTCATATGGTGGCAATGACATACTTTGAATCCTTATGGACCGAAATGGCGCATGTTTAGGAAGGTTTGTGTTCGCGATATGCTTAGTAGTTCTACTTTAGATTCTGTTTATGCACTAAGGAGAAGGGAGCTTAGACAATCGATCAATTACCTTTATAACAAGGCAGGATCACCTGTGAATGTTGGTGAACAGATGTTCTTGACTATGCTTAATGTGATTACAAGCATGTTATGGGGTGGCACAGTGAAGGGTGGGGAGAATTTGTGGGTCACAAGCTTGATACGTTATCACTTGTGTGAACCTCCATTTATTCCGAGTGAATTGGTTGAGGTTATTTCTCTCTATATTTTGTACTCTCATGTTTATATAGTGGATTACTCATCTCCTTTGTGGATGTAGGTCGATTGACCGAACCACGTTAAAATCTTTTGTGTCTTTGTATATTTCTCGTTTGTCTTCTTACTCATGGTCTTTCGAGGTTTGCTTTGCTAGCTTTAGCGTTACACCTGCTTATTTAGGTCCTAACACGGATCAGGTCCCTTGACACAGCAAGAACAATAATGAAGAGTAAACAATGAAGAGAAAACAACACAAACAGTTTATGTGGAAACCTCCTTGCTCAAGGGAGTAAAACCACGACCTATCACACATAATTTTCACCTGTTTTCACTAATCTTCTCAAGCAAAAGTGAAACACAGATTTCACCACCAACGAGATTAACCTCTTAATCTCAATGCTAA